CAGTAAATGCCCAAACCCTACAGAACTGGTGCCTTCAGAGAGCACACTACATTTAATTTGGCGTCCCTGGGCCGGCTATGGCAACGCTACATTACACAAGGGTAGATGTAAAATGTAAAATACAACAGCCAAATCAGCATTCTTACTCATGTGTTGAAAGGTAGACATGGAGAAATGATTAATAAATTTCCCTTTCCCAAAATATATGGAAATCAGCAGGAACGATGGGTTGCCTACAACTTACTATCTGTGCCTGATGACATCTCACAAAGGCCAGTGTGTAACAGAAGCAAAAAGCAAAGGAGCTGTTTCTCTAGGATTCTGAATTTATGAAACACCTAAAAACCAGAATCTGGAGTCAAGTGGCAGTTTTGCCACCTGATACGGCCGAAACAAAGCTCTCAGAAATTTCCACAGCAGCATAAACATCTCCAAACCTTGCATACAGTCCTCTATCTTGTGGATCAGCTCGTAGGACTTGCACCGGTCCAGCAGGGTCCGGATGGCAGGAAGGGGATCCAGGACGATAGTCTCTGGGTGGGCCTCAATGTAGTCCTGCAACAAATCAAAGTAACCAGTCACATTTTGATTCACAAACTGGTTCACACATAATCCTCCAGCTAACAGTCAATTATTCAGTATGCAGCTGCTTCCTGGGTTACATATCACTCAACGTACATAAATTCCACTTTACATAAAGTCTCCCACTGTTCCCATCATACAATTTCGATTTACTGAATGTTTCCATTACACGGGTAAGGGTAGAGCAAAGCTGTACTGTGAGTTCCTTACGCGAATGAACAGCGCGGAGTGGGCAATTGAGGACACCACCAGGGCTCCGTTACACACTTCAGTCTCGTTTTGCTTTCATATACTTGGGGTAACTTCTGGACATCATCTCACACTTTTTCACTGAAAACTGTGAATAACCTGTACAGCAGTCATGTTATATTTTATTTTGTATTTAATTAAGGAACAGTCCAGTGTAGGATAATGAAATATACATTACAGGGTACAGGGTTTATAAATTCATTAAATATTGAACTATTTTCAATGTTTAAATAATGACTGTATAATTTTAGGTACATGCTACATTTAGTGATTATTCTAGTTAAAGAACTTTAAATGTTTTTTGTTTTTTCATTAAGCGAAATGTTTTTATTTACAACTATCATGAATGGCAATTCTCTATATGTGCATGTGCAGAGGCTAAGAAAGGGCTGCTTCTGACTTGTAAAAAACTCAGGTTACATAAAGATTTGCGGTCTGGAAATGGGTATACTGAGATTCTTAAAGCTCTCCCCCTAGAAAGAGTAAGTATGCTAGTGAGGGAGGAGCAATTTCTCAGCCTGTGGCAGCCTCTTGGCCCCTGCTCCTGCTTTGGCAGGTATAATTGGAAATGGGCAAGTCTTCCTGAGATGGAGTGAGTAATGTGCTATTTGAGGTAAGCAGAACACAATATGCACTGTTATTTAGGCATTTTTGTTGTGGTTCTGGTTTTTCTTCTACCCATTTCTACTATTTAACATTTTATCATCATTTATTTTTGCCTTATTTTTATTTTTGCGTTTTGATACCAAAAACCCAATGATGTTTTCACTGGTGAAAAAAAAACAAAACAGCTGGATGGAAGAAAAGCAAACAAAAGTATCATAGCCCGAGACAAAGACCCCTGTGTCACAGAAAATGTATTAAAAAGTCTGTGCAGAAAACCTGATAAGGACAGCACTCAAAATTAAGAAACACACAAACAATGTTTTAGTTTTAACTTTTCATTTACTGTAGCTGAGGCCACAGAGAATGTATAACATGTAGTCAATGGTTCATTTGAAACCCAGTGTGGCTCACTGTTGATTTTATAAATCAGCAATGAAGATGACTGCTGTCAGGGCACTGATGGACACAAATGCCTCCTTTCCCACTGTTCCTCGATGACAGAACACAACGATGGCATACAAAGACAGGGAGAGGGAGGGATAAGGGATTAAATAACACGGACACCATTCCATGTCGTTTTCTAAAAAAAAAAAGGCACCATTATTCACCCATTTCCTTCAATTACATTTCTTAAGTTTGAAATTCCTGTGGGAAACCAAGCCCTCTGGAGTTTCAATAAAGCAGCCTACAAACATTCACACACAGTCGTGAATTATTTCCTAAAAGGATTTTTTGAAAGCTGGATAGCATAGCATATATCTTTTTAACCACAGCCAACTTAAGATGGAATATTTTTGGCCACAAATATTTCCGTCAATAAACATAATAAAAGCAAATGTAAAAAAGATGTTGTTCCTTGCCCATCTACAGTACCTGTACCATGAATGAGGCTGAATAACTATGGTATCAGTTATGTAACTAAATTACAGTCCCTGTTGTTGCTTTTAGCAGCCTGTAGCACTTTTTGACTAACACTTTTTTTACGTGTTGGGATTTATTTGCGACCGTTGTAAGTTTCCTTGGCTAAAAGCATTATCCAACACAAACGCATACAAGTAGAAATAGTGAATCCCATTTAGGTAATGAGTTAAGGTCAATGCGAAACACTGGAAAAAATATTTAGGACATAGCAAATGATATTCACACCAAGTAAAGGGGGATTAGCTGTTCCAAGAAAATGCACATTATAGAACTTTCATAGCTCATTTGTTCCACCATTTGTTTAGCATTCAAACAGCCAAACCTTCTTAAGTGTTTCTTAAAAACATGCAACAGAATGTTTTGATTTGCTGTGCTCTTTGTGGTTTTACAATCAACAGCAATTCTAGACAGACCCCACTACCTACTAATGCCCTGCGCACAACCATCTTCTCTCGCACAGAAGAGCATCCTTCATCTCAACAGCGCAGACCACTACATGAGGCCAAAAAAAAAAAGTTATTCAGTCTAACTGCATTTTCAAGTGTAAAGCTGTGATGACGAGATTTACTGTAATTCAGGCTACTGGCTTCTCGGAAATAAGCACTTCACCAACACAGGATCATTCAAAGCCCTTAAATAGTCAGACACACATAGGGGAGTTACTACATTCTGTGCTAACAACCAGACAAAAAAACCCTTTAAATTGCTTTTACACCCTCCTGCTTCTCTATAGCTGAACTCTCAATTACGCATCAATGCTAACACTACACTCCTTTGAAGATTATAAAACAGGAAAGATAATGCCATTGGGAGTCACATCTATCAGGTTCATTCAGCAAATAGAAAAGTTTAAGCAGGAAAAAACAGAGCAGAGCACTCAGAATAGCCCTGCCTTTGCATTCAAGGCTGCTGCAGATTTGCATTTATTTTTAATTCAATCTTCACATGTATGTTTAACTAATAAAGCTCAAGACAAATTCCTGAGCCTTGTAAGGAAGAGGGATTCCTCTCTTAAGCAGCCTTACAGCCTCTTCCTCCTTCTTCAGCCAGCCAACGCATAGTCATGCAGTTTTCAGGACGGCAGCATTACCGTATCCATGGGAACTCTACGCACACGCGCGCGTATGTGCGCACACATTACCCTAAGTTAACAGCTTGCCACTTGACCCCAAACTGGTTTGAGCTGCAGGTGTCCAACACAAATAACTTGCCTGTCACGAGACATTATTTGGTTTTGGACAATTTCCATTGCTTTATATATATATATCAGAATATCAGTTTTTTTAGGTCACAGCTTTTTGCAAAGTTTGTCATCATTTTAATTTATATTTTCATTGCCTACACTCCCATCAGCAAATGTACTATTAAATTAATATTATAAATTAATTAGGAACAAGTAATAGGTTTATTCCATGCTGAAAAGTTTTCTCTCTTCTCTTTTCAGCATGGAATAAACCTATTACTTGTTCCTTTGCAGACTACGCATGCTGACGCAGCTACCCACCTGAACTACTTATAAATGAACGTATTAATTTATAGCCCATGTCAAGCCTTGGAGTTAATGGTTACACAACAGTATTGAAACATTGTTTTTTGTGGTCACATGTACAGCAAATAACGCTTTTCTCACAACATTTATTATTTATGTAAAAAATCCTAGCCTTTGGATTGCAAGTGACAAGGCATAAATCCTCCAAGCACATATAAAAAGACAACATGAAACAGGCCAAGGTGAAATTCTCATCTCTCATGTTCCTGCTTGAGTGTTCCTCCCTCCACAGGACTGGAAGAACCTGACTGCTGAATCTCACTGTGACTGCAAGACAAGTCTCACGCACACTGCTGTACTAACAGCAAAGGCAGGAAGGCAGGAACAGAAAAAACAATAACGGAGAACTTTGAAAACAGCTTTAAAATGTGAATAAAGAGGGACATTTCTCTAGATATGCAGCAGTATTGAACAGCAATAAACAGAATTTGTCTATGAAACCAGTGAAACCAGGATGGAGACACAATACACAGCTGCTGACATCCTGCAAAGCTCTGACTTGCCGCCTGTGATAATACTAAAAATAAGTTTAACTGCTTTGCCCTATCATGCAAACCCCTGCAGAGAACACCCCAGGTATGGAATTGATCCCAGGGGCTTCAGGGCTGTAAGGCCAACCACAGCAACATTGGGCCACCTGGGTACTGATACAGTACGTGTTTTTAAAATGTAATATAAAGTAGTCATGAACAGTCCTTTTCACTTTGACTGATTGACACAGCATCTAAGCTTAGGCAATCTAACAAGTTATGATGGCACTCTGATTAGGTCCCTCTTCTGACATTTATGAATACTGTAACAGACGCACGGAAAGATGGGCTTCAATGCCAGCTTAAAGAAGGAAAAACACAAATCTTGACAATAAAAAAACAAACATGAAACGATCGGCTTCTATTTTTCTTGTTTGGCACTCTTGAGAATTTTTTGTTGTCATCCAATGCATCATAGCAGTTAAAAAATCCTTCTGTGAGAAATAAGCACAGTAAGTCATATCAGGAAAATTTAGCCATGCTTTTTATTGTAATTAAGGTTAAAATCCCTATGGTATCAGTGCACAAGATGACGCAATACTATAAACAACTCCTAAAATACTTAATAAATTGCAAACTCAAGTCATACTTAATAACATGGTGCTGCTACTTTTTTTTTGGAGTCTAGCAGAAAAGGGATAACAGTTTTTAGGAATATCATCAGGGATGGGGCAGCTAATCCTATTTAACTGACCTCATGCTCCACAGCTGAAACGTTGTGCTTCTTTTGTTCTCTTTTCAGCATGGAATTGACCTTTACTGTTTCCTTTGCAGCCTACACATGCTGACGCAGCTCCCTACTTGACATCGATTTCTATATTCCATTATGGTCAAACATGAGATATAATGTTAATGTAATTAAATGTCATTTTTGCTTAGAATCCTGTCATGTTTCTCTGTGACAAACATGCAAAGGACACCATAGCAAACAATAAATTGATTAAAAAAAACATTTTTAAATTTTAATATAGATACACCCTAATTTTATCCTTCCAAGAAAAGCAGCACTAAAAATAATCATAACAATTATCAAATAATAAAAACCACACTTCACGATACAGAATTTGTAACAGTGACTGGAGTAACAGTGTATGAACACTGCATATAGGACTCAACCTTTGTCCGAATCTGAGGTGTTGTGACATTTGCTCAGCTACTGTACTTGTCCTGATGTTCATATGTTTCGAATAAGATCAACACTCCTAGATCACACACGAGAGAATACTCGTCTACTAAAGATTATTAGAAAGAAGCAGACAAAAAGTCATAAAATCAAATACAATAATGCCAGAATTATCTACCAATATTTATATGCTTTATTTACATATTATAATACAATTTATACACATCATATTAACAATAACAGGAATGAAGGACTAAATGAATATTTTATTTATAACTATGGAACACAGCCAATTGTTGATTTTAAGACCATTTTTTATGTTGCTTCCAATCAAAGGCTGATTTTTGGAAGTGATGTGAAAGTGAGAAGATATAATGAATCAGTGGGGTATTTTTGTACTTTTATACCTCAGGAAATTTCACTGAGAGGACTTACATTTGAGACTGCTACTGTGGTATTATGGAGATTTTAAAGAAAATTCTGATCAATAGTTTGGTACAGTTTAAACATCAACAACTTAAAAATCCAGTTGTTCTGATACCCAAAATATTCCCCATGAGCAAGGCAGTGAACTGGGACCACCCAAGAGTTGTGATATCAAGTCAAATGAACCATGTTGATAAAAAAGGCCAGTTCTGGATAGAAAACAAAAGTTAATTTCATCCCTTTATCACCGATAAACTCAAATGCAGTTCAGATTCATCAATAAAAAGTGGTGATTTCTGTTTAAGCCAGTTCACATAAGACCTACATAAAGGCAAGCTGCTTAACGATATCACATGTTCTAAAACAGACATCCACTTCTCACTTGAGCTGGTTTGTAACAGTGGCTGGAGTAAGATGGTATATCTTGACAGACTAAAAAATCAGGGCATTGCATCAAATATCAAGACAAAACAAGTACTGTACTTGAGTATTCCTTCTGTTTTCTTGGAACTCCCTATCTGTAATTAGTTATCCTTGATCAGCTCAGTTCTCCACCTTGGCCCCTACACTAGGCAAAGAGAAAATGATGCCCTTTATTGAATTTTACAAGTTTCTGATTCTAATATCAATTATATTTTCCTTTAGTTTACAGTATTTTCACCTTTTTTGTAGTGTTGAAAGATATTTAAATTTAATCAAGTTTAGCTTTAAGCTTTCAGGTTTTTCATGTCATAAGGTTAGAATAGTCATGCACCGTCTTAATTAGCCAGCTAGATTCAACCTATGCATGAAACTGCAAGCTTTCTCCATGGTAAAACTGCTCTCCAGTGTTGACGCTATGAACAGGGGAAAATGTAGTCAAAACTTCATATAGTTCCCTATATCTATACTCTGCTCCATGGAAAGAGCATTTCACCCTTGTTTAAAACTAGGCCATGTCAAGCAAGGATGAAAAATCAAAAGGTAAACAAAAAAATTAATCATACTAGGATCATATGATCAAATAAATACATGCAAAGAAGTTAAAAAAATACATTTTCAAGATAGTATAACACATTGTGCTATTAAATAATCTATTCTTTTATGTTTCTGCTCGTTTAATCTACCACACCAAAAGTGTACATTCTGGAGACAAAATATTTCTCCCAGTAAACTGAAGGACCATAGGAGCGTTTAAACCTGATATTTTGTGATGTTTGTTGCTATAATTTGGTGGTATATCCTTGTCAGAGTCCCAACCCAAAGCTTTTGGTAAGTGAGCAAAAGATCAATGAAAAACTTTAATTATACTGCACAACAACAAAACATACCGGACCTTCCTTATATTTTTCTGATTTGTGCACTTGTTGTGCTGTGACCTTCAGTCGGTTGATATCCTCAGCAAGATATCATGAGAATGCAATAAAAACGTTCTCAAAGATTACGCACAGTGTTACTATGAGACAAGGTGTAGGGTAGACAAGGCTGGATACCATATTACTAGAAGTAATAAAATGCTGCTACCTGAAACTGGGAACCTGCCCATTACCATTTATAAACATCTATATTTGCTATTTTTTAGGGATATTTCTGCATTGATTTAGTTAATCTTCAGTCTATGCAAGTGATATAATTGTGAACCGTTAACGTATTTTACAGAAGATTCAGGTTTCCAAAAAAAGTAGGTATTTTAGCTAATTAAGAAAATCAGCAGGGAGAGTACATTGGAACTCCAGGGATATACAGTACTGAAAAGAACCATGATCTAGTTATAAAGCAGGGTACTTCTTTGTTATTTCTCATTTCACCAATCACAGATGCCACTACTGCAAAATTTTGATCTGAAATCAAGAATGTTAGTTCTCTCTAATACATGCTCTGTCATACTATAACGCATGTTAACATCTGTAATAAAAGCAGCAGTGCACCTACAGTATTATTCTAACTCTGTTGTGGCTACATACACCTATGGTGGGCAGGATTTCTGACTTCATCTGACTGCAGAAGATCTACCTATCCCATGTCCCTGACAGCTTGTTCCTTTGCCCACACTAAAGAAAACTACATTTCCAACCTCCCCCATTTCTGCTCTGGGCTTCAATCATGTCCAACATTTGTAATCACAAACCGAGGCTATTTACAGTTGCTAACCCTGCTGCATGATGCTTGCATTATCCTTTCACCAAACATCAACCAAAAAAAAGATACGATACTGTCGAAGCCGGTGCTCTAGAGGCTGCCTGTGATGTGTTAAAAGACGAGAAGTTCAAAGGCAGGCAGGGCAAGTAGGAGAAGTCTGCCTACATTTCCTTATTCTCTTTCTCATGTGCAGTGGCAATGTTTGTAGCCATGAAGAAAAATATGAAAAACCCAAACTGAGAATGTATGACAAAAAATAACTAAATTTCTTGAAATTTTTGCAGAGGTTTTCAATCCATACTTCAGTCTTGATTATACATAGAACAAGGCCATTCCCAGTCACCATATATCACATCCTATATAAAGATGGTTTCAGTACTGGAGGCTTTTGGATACTCCTAAGATCTCACGCAACTTTTTTAAAATTAAATTGGTTTCAATAGAATGACTGAGCAGTTTGTTTCAGACGACCATCAGTTTAAGTTTGGGCTGGTTTTGATGTTCTGAAAGACAAATAGTTGCATTTCAGCATACATGTGTTGATTCCACTGGGTACACATAACGTGTGTTATGAAGTACTCTGGGATACAAATTGTGATAAAAGAACTGGGGTGGGAAAGGCAAACTGTATAGTCCTGACTTGTAAGAATTATGAGGAAGCCGAACTTCATACATTTAACAAATGTTAAAACATTTAACATCTAACAAAAACACTTCTGTGATGTATACACCTTCATGGTCAAAAATGTCCGTCTTCATCACAAAAAAAGGAAAATCCAACTGATTTAACTAAAAAATTAAACTTAATTTTTTAATAGGAATCTTAATGGGACGTCCATAACTTAGCTGATTATATTATACTGTTGACAAAAAACCAGCCCATTTTCTCCACAATTTCCCCATGATCCCATACATGGATCTAGAATGGAAGATCAAGGCACAGGGAGTGAACCAGTTGAGGAGATGACTCACCTGAACTCGCTGGACAAGCAGAAGAGACTGTGTGTCATTTTGGTCTGCCTCCAGAATCAGATCAGTCAGCTTGTGAATGATAACGTCAAGGGGACCCTGCTCTTCCAGCGGCTTTGTCAAGTCCAGCTATGGAGAGACAGAGACACACAGCTGACTGATGACTTGCTGGAAAAACCAAACATCATTTGTAAAATGTTACTGAACAATCAAGAATTTAAAATATGTCTGTCTCTGGTCTGGCCCAGAGCTATGTCCACTAGCAAGCTGAGATTAATCTTCCCAATATGAGGGCCTACAACTGGGTGTGATCCATCGGATTGGGTGGGTTTCATTGAACCTGCCAGGGATTCCTGAACTTGCTACGCAGTGACTGTTACTAGGACACGGTGGGTTAGAGGAGTGTGTACATTCTATCTGAGTATTAGCAGAGTGGGAGATGAACTGGGCAGAACTGGAAGATTGATGACTTCCTGGGCAGGACACAGTTGTAGCCACGAGCTTTTTCCACTCCTGAGATATGGAAATGATGAATTTCAGATCTGAAAAGGTGCTGTTCTTATCATTTTCTTATTGTGGTATCCATCAAGCAAGAGAAAGCTGTCTTTATCATATTTTTATGCATTAATTAGATGAAGAGAAATTACAGGTTTAGCATCACTGTAGATACGTTTGGTCCTGAGTAGGGCCTTTGTTTCAAGAAAGCTTTACATTTATGTTATAATGTCTCTCATTCAGATGCTACTATTATTATTACTACTACATTTCCAAAAGGAATAACTGTTATATTGTAAAAACAAATCAAGATCAGCATCATATTTTACAATATAGTTTGACTTCAAAACTGAAAAACACCTTTGAAGACACCTGGCACATTCACACTCTTTAAGGTCGCAAGAATATGGAAAATAGTTTAGTGGTGAGGTGATGGGAAATAAGTAGAGTGGGGGCTGTGTCATGACAAGAGCTGAATGGGTTAATTGTTGTATCATCCTGGAAGGCAGGAAATGCTTTAATATGCGAGTGTTTTCGGGTGGAGGGGGCTGTTGAGAGCTGCAGCCAGCACAGAGCATCAGCAGCACCTCCAGCAGAGCACGACAAAGAAACAAGCCAAGTGCGCTTTCTGATTAATGTGGGCCTGCTGACAAGCTATTCTGAGAAAGAACGAGCAGCAGATAATGACAGACCTTCTTGAAGGGTGGGGGGGAGGACACTAAATGAAGGGAACAGAACACTAAGTAGGGTTCAAACATACAGTAGAAGGAAAAAATATCTTGTCATTGAAAAAAGAATATGTCTGCATCAAAATGGTTGTGTCATTGGTAAAAAAAAAACAACCTAAAGTGTTGGTGCATGGTGTGGTGATGTCACAAGGCGATTGTGTTGGTGAGCTTTGAGGAAAAATCTTTCTTTTTTTTTTCGACAGAGCAATGCTACTGGGATTGTGGGATTGCTACTGCTAGAGTGCTACTGGTACCGAAAGGAGGAGAGTCAACAAGGTTCAATGCACCCGTGGATTCTCACCATCAGGTTGTTTTTTGATCATTGGAATATTTCATGACAACAATAACTGACAGCTACCGGGACCTGCAAGGCTATAGTGATTATAAAGACTCAATTCCTGCAATCAATTCCTCTTTTTCATTGGAGTTTAGACTTCAGGATATCATTAAGCAGTCCAAGTTTGAATGTCTACACAGTTTAACATTGAACTGACCCCGATTTCCCAATTATCTAAATTATCTTAAGGGTAATTGCTCAAAGTATGAGCCTAGTGACCTACACTGTTGTAATTAACTACATAAAAATATAGCTCGAGCAGTGTTCTTTTTCTGTGTACCACATAAGGAAATCAATTCAGAATGTCATTCTACTGTGATAACCTAACACAATATACTGTATATATGTGCTGTGGTCACATAGTAAAAGTGAAGAGGCCTTAGTTCATCTAATCTCATGAAAAACCTCATAAGGATTAATACCTTTAGCAGGCAGTCAATTAAATGCCTTGAATGAAGTCACAAGAGGAAAAAACTGGAAGCAGAAAAAATACTCATTAACTGCTCACACTTACTGTGAGGTAATCAGTGATGCGCTTCATAGCTTTGCATTCAGTCAAACTATGTTCTGAAGCATCATGAACTGGAGTTTTTCCCAAACTGTTTGCACTGTTTAAGTGTGATTCAACCACACATTCTCAGACTCTTGCTTTAACACTGTAGTTGCCAATGTATCATACCAGCAGAGCTCTGTGATTTAACATCACATACTGCTCTGCAGCATTTCTATAATGAACTGATTTTAAGACGGGTTCCTCTGATATTGTTTGGTGAATTTGGAATGACCAGTTATCTTTATTACATAACCACTGTGGCACAAAGGATCCTCTGACCTGTCCAACCATAAAGTCATCCTCCTTCTGACAGCTGTAATGACTTACAGTAGGGTGAGCTCAGACTGAATGAGGGATTTCTTCTAGAGCAGTGTCTCCCAGCCTGTACAATCAGAGGGCACGCTTACATAAATATACTGTAAAGGTTTTGCGTAATGTTCAAATATATCACCGGCCAAAGCTCATGATTATTAATTTTATAAACAAAACTTACGTCAATTCACAATCTAAGTCTGCCTCGGAGAGCTCAGTTGCCTTATCTTGGAAGGAAGTAAAGACAGTGTGCAGTGGAACTTTGCTTAGCCACTCCCAGTTGTTCTGTTTTTTTTAAGCCCGTTAAAATTAAAAAATATAACTTGCTCCACACATGAATCCTGCTTGTAATGTTTATGAGCATGGACTCTCCAAAACTGACATATAAGCAATATTTATTCTTTCGTTATTTTTGGTAAATATGCGACTTCTAAAATTCCATGTATTGAAAAATGCTGTCCTATACTGGTGTCGCTGTACTTCTGCACATATCCTGAAAGCCACATAAGTCAATTTAATCAGGAGCTGTGAGATTTCCACTTGGAGAATCCTGGTCATGTACCAGCAACAGGACAGGCTGAAACCTGAGGATCTAGATCTAGATCTTAAATCCCAACCTGTGTTCAGAGTGAGCACCTACTGGCTAAGGCACTTAGGAAAACCCTGCTGTCAATGTTTTAACAAAAATGTGGGAGACAAAACCATAACTACAGAGTGTTTGCTATACACCGAGCATATAAAAACAAACAAGCCTGGGGCAACCACACAAGATCAAGTATGTGATATAAATGTTCTACAATTTTATCATTTATCTTTTGTCTTGAAATTTTGGATTGTGGCTTGAATGTGTGGCAATTGTGTGAATGCTTACCACAATTGGGATGGTAAGGAGCTCTAAAAAGTCTAAAATGGGTAACATACATTTTCAAGATTGCACCAAGAACTGCCAATGCACACTGTCATACAAATGAATAGGAACTATGTAGAGAAAGTGGACAGTACTGTCGATTCTTCCTCTGTGTGAAATTTTCATTCACTTAAAAGGTTGGGAACCCCTGGTGTTTATCAGCTGAACCCCTTCAACCTAAATTATTTGGCTAATGTACCGCCTTGAGATTTTAACTAAATCAAACTTTTCAATAAATGCTTGCTACAGCAACCCACTTAACATGCTTCTTTTCACTTTGTAAAATATTAATATTACTACTGTTGTTTTTCTTAATCTTATTATTACATTGTTATTTATTAATAGGAATATTTAATTTTACATTGATGTTTCTGTGACAATCTCACGAACCCTGTGCAGTACCGCCACAAACCCCTTTGGATGCAATGGATTGCATCTCCATTTACAGCACACTACAGACTCGGATGTCTAAGTTTGTCAGCAGCCTAATACGCCATTCCTTTAGCAGGAAATCAGTTCACGTGTGGATATAGTGGGAATAATATGTTTGTTAACTTTGGGTACATGTATATTAAACACTGCACGCTTTTTTTCTGAACACCCATTTTCTCTGCATAATCTGTATTGAAGGAAACTTTCCCAATATGTGCCCACACAACTTTAGGATACACGCTCATTTTGACAAAAGGTCACAATTTGAATACATTGGCAGGCATCACACTAAGCAACCTCTTCACAAAAAATTATAATATATTCTTTAACGACATGGCAGTTCGTTCTTCAGAAGAGCCAAGGAATTTTCAGTATCAACTTCCCCAGTCTTTCTATGCATGATTTTTCCATGCCATTACAGTAATTGGAGGAAGGGTGATACTGTGGAATCAATATACTCAGAGTGCATGTTTTGTTAACTAATTTATCAGGAAAACACATGGTTCCTCCAGCTGTACAGCCCTGAAAGAAAAAGTAGAACAGAACAGGAATTAATTAACCTGTCTGTACGTGATGTTGCCTCAGACTTTTTAAGTGTATTGTACTAGAAGGTCTAGTGAACGTCACCAATAAATGGCAAAACTGCACTGTCAGCCACATGCGACAAGTCTCTTTGTGGAGAACATCTGCAGGTTCTGATGGACACGTAATACAGATTGGATACTTGGAGGTGAGCCTGAGAGACAGGGTCCACTAAGATAGACTACGTGTGCATAGAAACTGATAATGATACCCTTTGCACCGGGTGAACTGTGGGAACAAGAGTTTACTCAGTGCCACACATGTAGTCACACCCTTGTAGGCACCCACAATTGCTCCATATAAACAGGACTTGCTTGCTCTACTGATAAAACACCATAACCAATAAATCAACCAACTTCAGGTAAAAAAAGTTTAAGCCAGCCATACTCTTCCTAGTGACACACAAAGTGTTGTAACAGCTCTGAATCATTTATCAGAGAATTTGCTTTGCTATCACTTAAGGTGGGCCAAATGTGTGAATGTGAAGCAACAGCACTGCAGAGATAAGACGTGTTACTGCTACTCTTTTACAAAATATGTTTTAAATATAAAGAGAAATTCCTCAAAAGTGGTATCTTAAAAAGTCAGATAAGTCTGTGCTCAAACAATATGCTATGCTTTGGTGAACTGTTCCAGTGCTACCTGCTCTTGCCTTTGGAAGTCCACATATAATTAAATGAGATTGTCTCGTTACTGTTCAGTCCATAGAATATCACATTTGAAACAGGCAGGATCCAGTCCCTTCACAATTTTCGAGTGCGGTACATGCTTGCAACAGCGGTT